GCGGCAACAGCAGGAGGAGGTAGGGGACTGGGCCAGCAGCAGGAGTTGCTGCTTTGCCTCCTCACTACCAATCGGTGGTGGGAAGGCAAGGCAGCAACAATGAAGGGCTGTGGGTGAGGGAAGATGGGGGTGGGTGACCAGGACTGGTGGCGGTAGGTAAGCAAACAGATTGGACGGTTGTACTTACCGATCCGCGTCTTCAGAGGCTGGCGGCAGGGTAGGCAGGCCGGGTGGCGAGGCTAGCTAGCAGCGGCAGCGGGAGGCAGGCAGGGCAAGGCAGGCCAGCTGGGTGAGGACAGCTGTGGTGGCAACTGGGGCTTGTGGCTTGCCCTAACTCAACAGTGCGGCAGAAAGCAGGCAGGGACGGTCAGCTGGCTGGCTGGCCGGCTGGCTGGCTCAGCTGCTGCTGCTGCTGCTGCTGGTATGAGCGATGGCGCCACGTGGGTAAATTTTTGTAATTAGCACACATGCACTATAAGTAGGAGCGGGGCAGAGAGGGTGGGGGAGAATGAGAAAGGGATTTTTGCATGTGCACAGTAAAAAAAAAAACCTGTTTTTTTTTAAAAAAACTTTGGAGCGGCGGATAGGTGTGGGGGCCGGGCAGCAAAGGGAGGGGCGGGCAGGGGAGAATGCAGAAGGAATTTTCGCACGTGCGCAGTAAAGAAAACCCATTTTTTTAAAAAAAACAGGGTTTTTTTACTCTGGAGCGGCGGATAAGGGTGGGGGCCAGGGCAGCGAAGAGAGGGGCAGGCAGGGGAGAATGTGGAAGGGATTTTTGCGCATGCGCAGTAATAAAAACTGGTTTTTGGCCCGTAGGAGCGGCGGGGCGAAGCAGGGGTTGGTTTTACTGGTTCTTAGAACTACCGGTGACGTTAACAACCGGTTCTATAGAACCGGTGCGAACTGGTAGAAACCCACCCCTGGCCCTTCAGCATGGACTTTGACTGTCTTCTAAACAACAAATTGCTCTGAAAAAATTTCTAAAATAAACTGCCAGAAGTAGGATATTGGTTTAAATTCACTGATCGCATGACCTAACACACAACAGGCTTTAGCAGTTCAACATTGCTTTGTCATTTTAAAGTCTGCTGGGATTAATCTCTTATCATATTTCTAATCCTTCCAGAAGAATAGGTCCTTGGACCTGCACTTCTCATATTCTGCTAATAATTGCTCTCCATACTGGGAGCTAATAAAAAGATGAAGGCAAAACTTTCCTGGGGTTGATAATCATGGACACATCCTTGTACCATTTTTGCCAACAAGCAGAATTGGTTCGCTAAAGCGCTCCATCAAGATGTATCCTTGAATTTTCAGTTCAGTTTACAGTATTTCTTCCATCCAATTATCATTTAATGTTGATCCTACATAGCTTTTTCAAAATAAGTCAAGGCTGGTTAGGTGCTTTCCCTTAGTTGAGCTCAGAATGAAGAGGATTTCTCTAGTTGGATAGATAGCAAAAAATAATAAACAGGGATACAGTCCTATGGGGAGGGTCTTTGGCGCTCTCTGAACTTGGCTGTTTTCTTACAAATTTTTCATTACTCAAACTAGTTAGTTCAATTTCAATTCAACTCATTTCAACCCTGAGCTACAAATACAGTGGAACCGTATTGCTAACACTAGTAAATGCAACATTTCTTCATCTAGTATGTTCCAGTTGTTTTAGCTTACACTCTTAGACAAAATTCTGAAGATAGGGGATAGAAATTGAAATCCAGTATCCTGAACACTAGATAAAATGGTTCTAAATTCTAACACTTTAGAATAGTGGTCGCCAACCAGTGGGCCAGGGACCACTGATGGTCCGCAAAAAATTTTTGGTGGTCCACAGAGAAATGTCACCCCCAAAGCAACCCCTAAAGCGATTAATCCAAGCTGCACAGGAACACAAGGCTGCGCCACCCACACGGCCCTTGGGAACACAAGGCTTGCGTCGCTTGCATTGCAAACAACACGAGGTAGTGAGGGGAGGGGGGAACCTGCCCCACTCAACCCACGACCTGGCCTGGCCACTGGGCTGCTTCTTTCTTCTTCTGCTTTTGGCTGCACGCAAGGAAAGCAGCAAAAGTCTTTCTTTCTGTCCCCCACACTCTGCCAGAAATGAGTCTTTGGAACCCTGCAAGGCATCCTGCTCCAAGAAGCTGTGCCAGCATGACAAATCTCACAAAGACTCATTTCTGGTAGATTTTGGGGGAGAGAAAGAAAGACTTCTGCTGCTTCTGCTGCTTTCCTTGCATGAAACCAAAAGTCTCTCTCCCCCCCACCCCCGAGAATGGAGCTGGAGACAGTATCCTGTGATCCCAAATAAAAAATGATCTATCGGTAGGAAAACGGGGTAGGGAATTTTCCTCAGACTTTTGGGGGGATTTTCTGAGGGTCTCTGGTCCATGGGATTTAAATTATGAATTTGGTGGTCCCTGAAGTCCGAAAGGTTGGTGACCCCTGCTTTAGAACAGTGTATCTCTAGCAATGTGAAGATCTGTGGAATTTTGGGAATTGGAGTTCACACATCTTTAATCTGCCAAGTTTGTGAAACAGTGCTCTAGAAGGTATTATATCAGAATAATAAGAGTGAAAACTGTAAAAAGCACCCTTTCCAGTTTCCCAACAGGCCTTTGATGTTGTAGCTCATTCTTAGGGTGCTGAATTCCTTTATAGATAGCCCTTGAATTACAACCATTCATTTAGCGACTGTTTGAAGTTAAATTGCACCTTGCACTTATGACCATGAGGGGTCCTTGGTGCCCTCTGAGCTTGTTTTCTTGCAGATATTTCATTACCCGAACTAGCTAACATCATCACTGTTAGTAAGGAGTGCTGTATTATCAGTTTATATTCTGGTGACTAGCCTGCCTGTGTGGATGGGGTCGATGTACATGTATACATCTGAACTAGACTGTGTTGTTTCTCTGTGTCATATAATATATGTGGGTATATGCATAATTTTGTATTTATTTATTTTGCCATGTTTATGTAGTGTATATCGGAAGTGGTGATCCTTTGAGAGCTGTATACAACAAAATTTCATTTTGACGTACTGTATGCTGATTAGCGTACATTCAAAATGACAATAAAGTTATTCTAAGTCTAAGTCTTAGAGATTCTTTGATTGGGCTATTTGCTGACGGCTCTGGCAGTTTCTTGATTGAGGTTTTGCTTACTTGATTGTTGGTCTGTAGTTGACCTTGGAGTTAATCTATGCTGATCTGAGTGCTGATTACTGGTGGAGAGTTACTGGAGTCTTTTTGTTTTCTTTTGGGCTGGTTGATTGCCCTTTTTGCATAGATGTTGTTAATGTCTATGTGTCTATTGATGGCTGATTTATCAGAATGCCAGGCTTCTAGAAATTCCCCGGCATTTTTGGACTTGGCCTGGTCTAGGATAGTCACATTTTCCCAATTGAAACTATGGTTAAATCTGTCAAGATGTTGTGAAATTAAAGCAATTAAACTTATGACTCCATGGTCATGTGAGTAAAATTGGCAACTGGCATATATATATATATATATATATATATATATATACACAGTGATGATTGGTATTTGTGACCTCCCAATAAGCAAAGTCAATGGGAGAAGCTGGATTTCCTTAACAACTTCATGATTTGCTTAACAAATGCAGTGATCTGCTTAACAACCATGGCAAAAAAAGTCATAAAATCAAGTTTGATTCATTTATCAACTACCTTGTTGAGAAAGCGGAATTCTGGTCCCATTTGTCATTGCAATTCATGGACTACCTGTATTTTGGAGATGATAGAGAGAGCCCTTGTGGCTGTTTTTATTCTGCTGTATGTTACATGTTACTCTGCCACTTTATAGCCTCCCCACCTGTCAACGGTGTTTGGTTTGAAGAAAAGAATATTGAAGGAATTCCCTCGTTTTTTTTTCTTTTGGGGATCCACTGAAGTGTTTGAAACTAGAAAAGCTACAAGCCACTGAAGAAATTCTTACAATGTGAAGGGGTGAACACATACGCAAAGCCTCAGCTGCTGTTAACCAGGGCAAATGCAAGGATTCTACGTTGCATCCACTAGAATTTTATCTATCTATAATTGGTCTTCGTTTCAGAATCATTTTTTTCCCCAGAAAATAGAAAAGGGATTAAAAATTACAGAGAGCCAGTTTGGTGTAGTGGTTAAACCATCAGGTGTTGCGATATGACACATCAGTAGGAAGTCACGTACACAGACAACCCAATACACATACAATACATATATAGGGTGACACTATAGGAACAGCTACGTGTAAAACCTGAGTCACTTAGGATTAACCATATATGGCAATGTTTCCTGTTCCTGTACAAAATCCTGAGTCAGCTATAGCATAAGGATTAACCATATATGGCAGTGTTTCCTGTTCCTGTCTAACCTCATGTAACCTAAACCCACCCCCCTGCTTGCTGCACAATAAAAGAGAGGGGCAAAGTTTGCTCTGGGCTCTTTTCCTCTCACCAAAAGAAACCTTTGTGTCTGTCATCTTTGCCATCAAGAGGAGCCCACCCAGACAGTCTGTCTGGGTGCAGGTCGTCAGCTGATTCATCCTGGTACTGGGACCCGCAACTCATCAATCAGGCTAGCTAGAAACTGGGAGCCTGTGGGTTTTTCTCCCACCTTACTCACAAAGCCAGCTGGGTGACCCTAGGCCAGTCACTTTCTCTCAGCCCTAGAAAGAGGCAATGGCAAGCCACTTCTAAAAAAACTTTGCCAAGAAAACTGCAGGGACTTGCCAAGGCAGTCTCTGAGAATCAAAGTTAAAAAAAGATATTTTTTTTTAAATGGAACAGTTTTGAGGGAGGGATACTAAGCAGAACTTTATTCCTTCTCAACACATAGCAATCTTTTCCTTTATTTTTTTTTCCATGGAGTTTCACATTATTTACTGGTATCTTGGCACAGAATAAGGCATTTCTTAATAGGTCAAGAATGATCCAACTTCATAGCTGAAATATGACTACCCACCAAGCACAACTAATCATACGGCCATTAGACTACTCACCCAAATTTTGTGGTTAAGATGCCGCCGAGGGAAGATCCAATAATTACTCCTATTCCAAAACAAAGTCCAAGTTTTCCTAAAGCATCAGCACGTTTGGCAGGAGTTGTCAAATCTGTTATAACCATCTGTGCACCTGTGAAGACAGTGGAAAATTGCAAGCTTTCGTTGAACTATGAAGCATCTTTCCATGTTCACATCTGAAGGGCTCAATTAATAAACAAGGTAACTGGGAACAATCGACTCCTGGATTTGTACATCTTGTAACATCACCTGGTAATCCATGAATGAAGATGCCTGGAGCCCTGGAAAGAAAGAGCAGGGGGACACTGATGGATACAGAGAGGAGCAAGAAGCACAGAGATCCAGCCAAATATGAAAGAGTTAGGGCAGCTCTGGTTCCAAACTGGTCAGCAAACCTGGAAGAAGAATAATGCAGAATATTTAGAACATTGACTGAACCTCAGTTAGAAAAGCAGAACCTATCATATTCAGAAACCACCAACCTGGTCTCCCCAAAATCTGGATGCAAACCTATCTACCTACAGGAAGTCCTCGACTTAAAGCCATTTGTTTAATGACTACTCGAAGTTACAATAGTATTGAAAAAAGTGATTTATGATCAGTTCTTGTGCTTATAACCATTGCCGCATCCCCTCAGTTATATGATCAAAATGCAGGCACTTGGCCCCTGGCATGTAGGTATTTATGATGGTTATAGTGTCCCAGGGCCGTGTGATTGCCATTTGTGACCTTCCCAGCTGGCTTACAACAAAGTTAATAGAGGAAGCTGGATTTGCTTAACCGCTGTACAACTCACTTAATGACTGTAGCACTTTGCTTAACAACTGCGGCCAAAAAAGGTCATAAAATCAGGAGCAACTCACTTAACAAGTGAAATTCTGGTCCTAATTGTGGTTGTAAGTCAAGGACTATGTCTGTCTGTCTGTCTGTCTTCTGTCATCTACCATTTATCATTTATCATCTATCAGAATAGTGGATGAATATTTATTTGGACAGATGAGTACCAATAAAATATAAATGCTCAGAATCATTCTAAATGTATGCAATCCTGAAAATTTTAGCAAACAACACAGACTAATACATTGCCTTCTCAAGCAAAGCCTCCCCATATAGTCTTTTCAATCAATTGATGTTATCAGCAGCAGTGGCCTTACTCCAGTGTTCCCCAAGCTTAGAGAAAATTGCATGGACTTCAATTCCCAGAGTTCTCAGCAATGACCATGCTTCTTGGAGAAATCTGTGAGCTTGAAGTCTGAAGACACTAAGGTTGTAAGGAAAGCAGTTTTGCTCCTATCAGATCCCTAAGTTCTGGTTAATACAGGGTATTCTTCAGATTTTCCCCTTTTCTGTTTTATCCTGCATGTTTAATTGAAATGGATACTAAATCTGAATTATTTTCCTAAGTTAAACATGATACTATTAATTTAGGAAAATTCTGCCATTGCACAAGAACAACACTTTAGATATACCTTCCAAAGATAGGGCCACCCAGAAGCTGAAGAATACCAAAGAATGTTTGTAAGTAGCCAAATCCAATTGCATCCAAACCCAAGTTAGTTGCCAAATACTAAAACAGAGGAGAAAATAGAAAAGTTAGACATTACATTTTTGAAAGGGATGTTAAAAACAAAGGTGAAGTTGATCTATGTAATTTTCTTGACATCCATATGGAAATGATCGCTATTGTCTTTTAAAATGTTCATTTCACAATCTAGCCTACAGCATTGATATTTCGTAATGGTCTCTCATCCAACTCTTAATCAGGTTGGATACTGCTTAGCTTCTCAATCAGCCATGCTCATCTAGGTATACATATAAACCAGGGGTGTCCAACCTTGGCAACTTTAGGATTTGCAGACTTCAACTCCCAGAATTCTGGCTGGCTGGGGAATTCTGGGAGCTGAAGTCCACAGGTCTTATAGTTGTCAAGGTTGGATAACCCTGCTATAAACTATAACTCATCCTCAAGCCTTAGTTTCTCTTTCTTCCTTCATTTTAAAAGAAAATGACAGGGACATTTCTACCTCCACTCCTATTGGTCAGAGATTTAATGGAGTTTTCAGCTAGCAACCCCCTCCCAATACAAACCAAATGCTGCTTAATCTTATTAAGAACCACTTTAAACTTCAGATTTCACTTTGTGTTTACATACGATTCACTGAATTCTGTTAAACTGTTTCATATGGCTCTAAGCTCTTTTCTATTTAATGGGAAATAAATATTGACATTATAAAACTCTTAGAATCCTTTTGCAGCATAAATAAAAAATAAGCAAAGGATTATAACTTTAATTCATTTTCATTTTCCTCAATAATTGTTTTCTCTTTTACCACTGAGTAGTCCAAAAGAATCAAACAACATCTTCTGGAAATGATATAGAGAGGGAAACTGATTTCAAAGTTGCACCAACACCCCCTTTTAAAACAACAATATACATAATGAATAACTGTGTCCCTAGCAATTAAACCCTTATAGCCTGAACAGTCTGTAATCAGTCTCATCAGAAAGTGTGGTTTAAAAAGTTCTATTCAGCTCCCAATTAATAATAACTGTAATAATAATTATTAACAATATCTCTAATCTAATGCCATAAAACAGGGGTGTCAAACTCGATTTCATTGAAGGCTACATCAGGGTTGTGTTTGACCTCGGAGGGCAGGACGGGTGTGTCCAGAGTGGGTGTGGCCTACTCGATGTCACTCATGTCGGGGCGCCTGTGGCAGCACGAGCACTCTGCCAGCGAAAACAGGCTCCCGAGCTCCATTTCTGGCTGTGAAGGCCTCCTGCAACCCTTTGCCAGCAAAAACAGAGCTCGGGAGCCCGTTTTCACTGGATGAGGCACCGTAGGCCGTAGACTGTTTCAGAATGGCCCTGTGGGCTGGATCTGGCCCCTGGGCCTTGAGTTTGACACCCCTGCCATAAAACACCAGCATTTGCTTATCCCGGGTCCTTGGGAAGGACTTGATAGGTGCCAAATCCAGTCTAAACATCTGGCTGATTGTGTGACCAACCATAATAATTACAAATCAAGTCTAATGAGAAGATGATAATAGGTGCCTTGTGTACAATCCTAAAGTATCTGGAGTACCAATTGAACACCATCAGCACCAACAAAATCACCAACAGTCAATTGAAAATGGTGGCTTTACTTGGATCAATTTACATCCTGCGATGGTACCTTTAACACCATTGAACAACATCTGCCTACTTGAGAAGAATCAATACATGGATAAAAATGTCAAATCTACTCTAGCTGGCGATGTGAACAACCATAATAACTACATTTATATGCCCCACTTGACTCCCAGCAACTCTGGACAGTTTACAATGCATTTAAAAACAAGAAACAATTCAAAAAACAATTAACTAAGTTTGTTTTATTAAATCCATTCCTTGGCCTGGAAGACGATACAGACACAAGACTCAAGGAGAGTCTTGAGAGAAAGTTCCTTATACAGCCCCATCCTTACGAGCTAGTAAGGCAACAAGAACAACTTTTGCAGGACAAATATTAGTTCCTATATTTTAATTTATCTGAGGTGACATGGTTAAATGGATTTCCACCTAGTAGTACCGAGAAACATGCCATGGTTTCAAGCAATAACTGAGCAGGCAGCAAGCATTCACACTTTGTACTCACTGGCACAATCCCAAACTGCATAAACATGCAAGTCAGATCCATAGCCGTCAGGAGGTAAGTGATTTTAATCACCCACCAAGCTGAGGTCATATTTACAATTTTCTTATCTTCCATCTCCAAGGATTCGTCTTTCAGTTCCAATTTTTGTTCACTCTCTGAAAAGTTTTCTATATTCCTGCGTACTGCACAGGCTGGAGAGGTGTGTATGTGTGGAAATGAAATGGAAAATAAATGTTTAGCTAGAAAGAAGGAACAGCTGCTCATTTACATAAAGTGCAAAAGTCCCAGGTTTGGTTCTTTTTTTTTTAAAGAAACATGAAATTGGAATGAGTGCTGAGTCATGGCACAGGTTACATTTTTATGCCCATTTAATTTTAGCAAGTGAGTTTGCTGGGTTAGCAAACTCACTTGCTAAAATGTTCTATTTGCTTAGGTTGCTAATCTACTTGCTTAGATTGGGGGGGGCGGGGGAACCATACAAATAAAAATAATGATGCCTCCAGAGGTGGTATTCAGCAGGTTCTGACCAGTTCTGGAGAACCGGTAGAGGAAATTTTGAGTAGTTTGGAGAACTGGCAAATACCACCTCAGACTGGCCCCACCCCCCATCTATTCTCTGACTCCCGAGTCCCACCTGATCTGCTTGGTCTTCTTTTGTTGCCCTGCACAGGAGAACGGAGCTGGAAAGCAGGTTAGTGAGCAGGGGAGGAAATGGGATTTTGCAGTATCCTTCCCCCTGCCACGCCCACCAAGCCATGCCATGCCCACCAAGCTGACAGATCCGATAGTAAAAATGTTTGAATCCCAACACTGGGTGCATCCATATCTTATGTGCATCTACTTGGAGGTACCAAGACCCTCAGTGAACCAAGTTATCATAGATAGACTGCAGTCACATAGCATAAATCTTTATTCAGAAAGAAAGCCTATTATGTGATATATTTATGTAGCTCCTTATCAGTCACTGTTTTGGAGACTCAGAAATTTTACTGTATTGACCAGAAATACATGCTAATCACATACTAATCTATACCCATGCTAAAGTATTTCAGTAAATATATCTACTGTGCAGGTAGTCCTCAACTTAAAACTATTCATTTAATAACTGTTCAAAGTTACAAAAGCATTGCAGAAAGGACTGTTTTTCACACTTATGACCATTGCAGTATCCCTGTGGCCGCGTGATCAAAATTCAGATGCTTGGCAACTGGCATATATTTATCACTGTTGCAGTATCCCAGGGTCACATTATCAGCTTTTGCGACCTTCTGACAAGCAAAGTCAATGGGGAAGCCACTTAACAATCCTGTTAGTGACTTAACAACTGCAGTGGTTGACTGTGGCAAGAAAAGTTGTAAAATGAAACAAAACTCATTGAACAACTGTCTCACTTAGCAACAGAAATGTTGGGCTCAACTGTGGTCATAAATCAAGGACTACCCGCATGTACAAACTTTTATTTTTCAGACGGGGAGAGGTGTTTAGTAACAATAGCATGGCAGGTCTTGAGGTTCAGCTTCTGTTATCTCAATTAAATGGATTACAGAGCAAGGTTTTGAGAAAAAAAAATTCCTTCAAAGAATCCTTAAAGATGTAAATCCTTCCAGGGAATTCTTGGAGAGGGAAGATAGGAGGTGACACATCTCTTAGCACAGAGGAATGGATCCTTCCTCCTCTAAATTGCTGCAGAGTTTTGGGAAGTCTCCACTTTGCATTTAGGACAGATGAATGGAAGAGATTGGAGGAAGAAATGGAAGAAGAAACACATGAAGGGAAGATTACCATTAGTAGGCAGTACACATGTGAATGTAGCTGACGACTGGAAAATGAATAGTAAATTGACTGCTATTTCTATCATGAAAGCACAACAGTCTTTTCTCTCAAGGCATCCAATAAGCTGTTATAGTGCTAAAATATTACCATTTAATTACTCATCCAAAAGTAAATGCAAGATTAATAAATCAAAACAATTCAGAAGCTTCAGGAACTTGAACTGACCAGCCAGTAGAAAATTGGAATGAAGCCAATCATTAGGAATAAACGCTACACGAGTTATTTATACCTGTGGAAAGTGGGGCTAGCATCATACAAAATGGAGTTTTAAGAATGTTGGTAAAACTACATTTTTGCCTGGGGCATTTGTCAGTTGTTGACAGATTAATTTTTGGACCTCAGAAGATGAAATTGGGTGTCATTCAGAGAGAACATTCTTGAAGAAGCAAGATGGGGCTTTGCTACCTTGGGATGCAGTAAATAGACCGTGGTAATAATGAGTCAAGACTTAAGAAAGATTAAGTTGTTATTATTACTAGCAGGGAGCTGGGAAACTAGGTGCCCAAAAGGCAATGTTTTTTGTTGATCACACTCTGTCGATTCCAAGTTCTGTTTAAAGCATATTTTTTTCTGGCCTTTTCTCCATAGAAAGCATCTTTAAACGCTTTCCATAAGTCTCCCAACATCAAAGAACAGCATAAACATTGTAATGCTATAAAAGAGCCCCAGTGCTGGTTCCCAACCTAACTTTTAAAGTTCCCAGCAATTAAACATTATAACATTTCTCAGCCAACCTCTAACGTTTTCATAAGGTCAGAGTTAGGCTTCGCCCCCTTTAGGGCTCAATGAGAGACTTGCGGATTCAAATTCTGCCTGGAACAAGCGTTTTGGAGAACTTCCTTGTCTATCTCACCTTGCCAGACAGGTTTAGTTTTACCCTAAGGAGAGAAATTAACGATGACTTTGCATATTTACTTGCAGAAAGTAAAAAATGTCTTTTAAGAAGATTATTCAGTTTTTTCCAGACATAAGGAGTGAAGGGTAAACACTTTGAAAACGTTCCAAGCAATGTTTCCTGATTTAAATCCAACTTTAAACCTGAACAGGGGTTTGGACTAGATGACCTCCAAGGTCCCTTCCAGCTGTATTCTAATTGATTAATATTATGGTTTTTCCTTGCCAGCATTTTCTGCCCTTGGCCTGGTTACAACTGTGACTCAAAGCTGTATACTTTTTAATATATATCACAGAAACAACTCAGTGTACTGGTTAGCTTTCAGTCACGTTATGTTGAGCATAAATTGTTAAGTGAAGAAATTTTTGTTGTCTGTTTACAGGTAATCCTTGACTTACAACCATTTGTTTAGTGACTATTTGAAGTTACAATGGTACTGAAAAAAGTGACTTATGACTGTTTTTCACACTTACAAACATTGCAGCAGCATCCCCATAGGCAGATGATCAAAATTCAGATGCTTAGCAACTGGCATGTACTTATGTCGGTTGCAGAATCCCAGAGTCATATATGATTACCTTTTGCAACCTTGTGATAAGCAAAGTAAATGGGAAAGTGGTGTTATTAAGAACTGCAGTGATTTACTTAACAATGTGGCAAGAAAGGTTGTAAAATGAGGCAAAACAGATGTAACAACTGTCTTGCTTCACAAGAGAAATTTTGGGGTCAGTTGTGGTCATAAGCTGAAGTCTACCTGTATTGATATATTATCTCTTATAGGACTGTATCTTGTAGGTAGATAGGTAGGTAGGAAGGAAGGAAGGAACCAGAGGTGGTATTCAGCAGGTTCTGACCAGTTCTGGAGACCGGTAGCAGAAATATTGAGTAGTTCAGAGAACCGGCAAATACCACCTCTGACTGGAGATTTTACAGTATCCTTCCCCACCAAGCCACGCCCATAGAACTGGTAGTAAAAAAATTTGAATCCCACCACAGGATGGAAGGCTAAGTCAACTTTGAGCTGGTGAGAATCGAACTGCCGAATTGCTAGAAGCCAGCAAAACTAGCTCACAGTACTGCATTCTAACCACTGTGCCACTACAGCTCTATATGATAATCCATTTTATGATCCTTGCTATAGAGATATTTACTTAAGACAGTAATGCCTTTGAAATTCCTGTCAATTGGCTTAATAATCTGACTAGTTCTGGAGAACCGGTAGCAGAAATTTTGAGTAGTTCAGAGAACTGGCAAATACCACCTCTGATGAGATTTTACAGTATCCTTCCCCTGCCATGCCCACCAAGCCATGCCCACAGAACCAGTAGTAAAAAAAAAATTGAATCCTACCACAGGAAGGAAGGAAGGAAGGAAGGAAGGAAGGAAGGAAGGAAGGAAGG